GGGTCAAGGTTACAGGACGCTAGCGAAAGAAAATCCCTGTCTGTTAACATGGGAACCGATTTTTCACACTATTTTTGCTCTATAACTCACTCAAAAATGATAGGTGGACGCATATAGAACATCATTCCTCAATGCCATATCCAAAATGGTCAGTATCCGTTGATAACGACGGGCATACGGACTCATTTTCATATATCTCTCTTCTCACTAATCTACCAGTTCCAATTATGGAGGGATAATACAGATCGCCCCTGTGTAGCTTTGTGAAACAAACAAACAATATTTTTGAAGAAAGAACGGTGAATATGGTTCTGTTTTCAAATTTATGGTATGATTGTTTGACCAAAATGTAGGGCTGACAAGAATGTTCATTTCAACTTCGTGTTTTATATTTTTTTCGAAAAAAAAAAACTGTAAGATGTAGAGGTGTTCTGCGATCAAGAATTCAAGTCTTGAATAAAAATTACGGCTTATTTTTCTGAAATAAAGAAAAATTATTATATGGTTCTGCAGAAGCTGTCTTTCAAGAACATTCTACAATTCAGTTCACACTTGATTAAAGCCAATTGTTCATAATAAAATTATAAATAAGCATTTAGTTAAAGTTCCGACACGCACTTTAGTCTGATTATGACCTACTTGTTCAAAATGTCAAACTGTCTTTGGCAAAACGTTCCCTTGGGGAACGGTAGTGTATGTTTTAATATTATGTAAAAACCGAACAGAAACACAAACTAAAGAAATGAAGTTTAAATTTGTCCGAAATAATTTGCTCATTCTACAGAATAGCATTCAGTCGTACATACGGTCCTAAGATCCTCCTCAGTTGACTGGTAGTTTTCTAAACCTAAGGTTAATTCGTGTCTTTGTGTTCCTTGGGCTTTGCTTGTGTTTCATCTTCGATCAGAGCTCAGATCCACGATGCCCCTAGAAATAGTTATTTAGATGTTATTTGACACAAGTAAATCGTGAGTAATTGTGACTTGAGTGTCACATTGCTCATGTATCGGCGAACCACTCTCCTAAAGGATGTATAATAAAACTAAAACCGTGAGTAATTGTGACTTGAGTGTCACATTGCTCATGTATCGGCGAACCACTCTCCTAAAGGATGTATAATAAAACTAAAACCGTG